TTTAAGCAGTGTGACAATTACACAATCTACATAATCTAGATTCTTGAAAATTATTTTTTGGCTACACTGGGGAAAATGTATTGCAGAAGGGTAAAACTCATAAGAGATGACAATGACAGCAAGAATAGGGAGAGGTATTTATAAGATATTTACAAGGCAGAATTAATGACTTAATCGAGAGGGAGAGGGATGAAAAGAGAAGTCAGGAACGACACACTAAAAAGAATAAGTTTTTTGGGGGGGAAGAGATTGGAGAATTGAAATCAGTTTTGAACAGTTAAATATGAGGAGACTTTAGACTTTGGGTGGAGTCATTCCATCAGCAGTCAAAACAAGGGAGTGATAAAGGAGTCATTAGCATAACCACAATAACCAATCATGTAAGAGACTGATATTGACCTAAGGGTAAAAAAGTCAACTAAACTTGAGAAGACAGTCAAGGATAGACCACAATTAAAAAGATGGACAGAATATGAAAAGATCTGGGTATGATGGTGTGCACCTATAATCTAAGTGACTGGAGAGGGTGTCCCAAAATAAAAAAAAAATAAAAGGCCTGGGGTGTAGCACCACCACCATCACCACCAACAAAAAGGGCAATCTAAGAGGGAAGAGAAAAACAATAACACTGAATGATATTTGATTATTTTTGCTTAAAGGAATTTTCTCTACTTTTTAGTAACCATTTACTATTTTTAATAAAATATTTAATTTAAAAATGATTGATATTCTATGACTTGCAACCATGCATTTTTCCACATACATGTGAAAATGAAACAAAGTTTTATGATTTTCTGACCTATCCCAAAGTCATTCATGATTCACACAATTTAACTGAATTATTAGTGTCTATAACCAGTTATTTTCTTTTCCAAACCATTTTTAAAGTGCCATCTTCAACACTACTGCAAACCATCTGTAACTTCTTAACTTTGCCAGTCTGCTGGGGTATCTGTCTCCCTCTTGGGAAGCCCATCCCACACTAAATGAATAACTGAGGAAACAACTGCTCTGAAAATGTAATGACTTACAGCTCTAAAAAAGACTTTGAGTATTTGTTTATTCTAGGTTAAAACAAATCTATCACTAGTATTGCATAGAGAAAAAAATAACAGGGGCTGGGGATGTGGCTCAAGCAGTGTAGCACGCTTGCCTGGCATTCGCGAGGCGCTGGGTTCGATCCTCAGCACTACATAAAAATAAAGTTGTTGTGTCCACTGAAAACTAAAAAATAAATATTAAAAAATTCTCTCTCTTTAAAAAAAATAGCTTTGACCCATGTAATCTACACTAGTCATATATTCACATTTGCTATATGATCAGTTATACATTTCTTATTTGATAATTACTTCAAAGCTGTATGATATTTCACTTCCACCTTTTCAAAGTCTCTCATTAACCTCAAAAAATCCTAAGATTACGTTATTAGAAAACATTTTAAGCTCTCAAGAGACATTTATATTTAGAAAAGGAGTAAAACATGGGTCCTATTCCTATTTCTAGGCGAAGACTCCAACTCATTGGGATTTTCTTTTTTTTTTTTTTTTCCGGGGGTGGGGCGGTTACCAGGGATTGAATTCAGGGGCACTCAACCACTGAGCCACATCCCCAGTACTATTCTGTAGTTTAAATATTTAGAGACAGGGTCTCGCTGAGTTGTTTTGCACCTTGCAGTTGCTGAGGCTGGCTTTGAACTCGCAATTCTCCTTAGCCTTCAAGTCACTGGGATTACAGGTGTGCGCCACTGCGCCTGGCTAGGAAAATTTTATTAATAAGTAATAAATTAACTCAGCAATTCTAAATTAATGCATGACTTTATTACTGATTTTTGAGGTTAAATAGATGGAAACAAAATTGTTTATATGGTCCTTTAAAATACTGTTTATTGTCCACAAGAAAGGTTTTTCTCATCCAAAGTCTCCCCTTCACACATGGATTGAACCCAAGGGTGCTTTACTATTGCGCTATATCCTAAGCCCATTTTATCTTTTTATTCCGAGACAGTGTCTTATTAAATTGCCCTGTCTGGTCTGGATTGTGAGATCCTCAGCCACCCAAGTTGCTGGATTACAGATGTGTGCCACCAAACCTGCCTTCCAGCGGATTTTATTATTCATTTTATTTCAAAATGTTTTATGTTGTTTTTACCTAGCAGAAGAAAATTCTCATTTTTAAGCTAAAAGGTAAAATGTTACCCTAAATATTGCTCTGAAAAATTTTTAAGTTGACAATTATAACTATATTTTGTTCATTTAAACCTTGACTCTTAAAATCT